TAGAGGTGTTGCTGGGCTGCCACAGACATAGTCTGGCTGCTGTTTAGGCTTCCTGTGTCTTTTGTTTACACAGGGAGATTAGGCCCACCTCTGTAATGATGTATGCCCTTCCCCCCATCGAGCTTGATCCTTCCAGGTCAAGGTGGAACTGATGTGCTGGCTGTGAAACCCTCAAGCAAGAGGGCTTCAGACTGCTGGGCTTTGTTGCAGGAGGGACCCACCTAGCCTATCGCCTGACTCCCTGCTTTTTGCACTACCTGTCTCTGGGAGACCAGTAGCTCCATCTGGCCGGCTCTCTCAGCCAGCCAACGCATCCGCCTAGGTCTGTTCCAACAGTCCGTGGCACTGACTGGGGCTGCTATTCAGCTCTACACAGGTAACTCGGGTGCCTTTCAGCCAGTGAAGGTCTCCTTATCTGTGGGTTGCAGAGGCTTTGGGAGAAGTGCAGTATCTGGACTGGTGTGCCAGGGGTTGGGGAAGCCCCCAATCCTCCAGTCAGATGCACTTCCTGGGTGGAGCAGCCCCCCACCCCACCTTGGTTTTCCCTTTTTGGGCTATGCCCACTGTCCAACCAGTCCAATGGAAATGAATCTGGTACATCGTTTGGAGATGTGGAGATCACTTGCTTTCTGCATCTCTCTCACTGGGAGCTGCACACTGGATTTGTTTCAATTTGACCATCTTGGCAGAAGCTCTCTTCCCCTTTTTCAAAGGCAGAGGAGCCTCACTCCATGGCCACTGCCACTACCAGACCACAAGAGAGCATAACCAGACAACTGCTGATCTTCCCTTAAGGTCCAAGACCTAAGTCAGCTTCTGGTGAGAGCTGCCTGGTCTCGGATTTGCTGTCCAGGGAAGTAGACTCCACTCTGGCCCATGGCAGGTCCAGAAATGCTATCCAAGAGCCAAGTTCTAGAACTGGGGACCTCAAGGGCCTGCTTCATCCTGTATCCTCCAGTGGCTGAGCTAGTAGTATCTAAGGTGCAAAATGAAGTTCCCTTTACTTTTCCGCCTGCTTTTCTCAAGCAGAAGGAATCTTGTCCCATAGCCACTACAGCTGTGAATGTGCTGAATCTCACTTTTAGCCAGCAAGTCTCAGAGTCTCATTCAAGACTCTCAGTGCAGTCTGTTAGTATTACTGCTAGTTATTCAGGGTCCAAGGGCTCTTCAGTTAGCAGGTGATAAATCTTGCCATGACAGAGTCTTTCACTTTCTTATTCCCTCTCCTTTTTGTTCTCTGTAAGTCTCTTCCTTCTTTTCCTTTCCTTCCCCTATCCCCTACTCTTCTTTATTTTCTTTTTGGTTCATTATTGTCTCCAGTCTTTTCTTTCTTCCTGTAACAATGACAGAATATACACACTTACATATATATATATATATATATATATATATATATACACACACACACACATATATATACAGATATGTATGTAATCAGATTATCATGTCCTAACTTCGTTTCTAAAAGTCACCTATTTGGCCCAGAAGATGTCCTCTTTTTAAATAAAAGATATGAAATTATTTTCTTATTTTACGTGAAATACTCCAGAAAAAAAATTATAAAATGCAAGCAAGACACAAAATTCCATATATATGTGTAATTTCCCGTGACCTAATCCAGTGAGTTTCAAATAAGGGACTATATTGGGAATCCTTATGGATTTTTAATTATTTCAAGAGCCTGAGGGAAGCCTTAAATTGATCTGCAATAGCACTTCATTGCTTCTTTTCTTTTGGCTCCAATTAGGTCAGTTCAGTATAGAGAAACTGTCTGGTTCATGCTGATCAGAATCTCTGATGAGGAGTTATAAATGACTTTGGTTTTAAAAAAGAGAGAAAGCAGTGAAAATGATCAACTTATACTTTTTTGGGGAGTAATATGTCTCAACATGGGAAGTTCATGTTACTGGAGAAGAAAATGAACAAATTAAACTCCTTATAGTTATCTTTTCTTATCTAAAATTAAAGAGGTGGAGTGGATACTTTCACCTGTTCTGAATAATAGTGGTAGGACCACGCCAGAGTGATTCTTTAATTGAAATATGCTTTGGTGTTTCAGGCCTTCAGCCCTTTTATTATGGTAAGACTATAAGAAAATGTTTATAAATCCTATCATTGTGTTAGTTATTTAGGAATATTATTGAGTATCTTTTCTAGCCACATTATTCAATGTGGCTCCAGTGTGAAACCCATTTCACTATTTCACATTGGAATCCAGAAAGCTCAGAGTCAAATTCAAATGTTAATCACAGGCATTGAAGAGGTCTTTTTAGGCTAACTGTACTCTAATATCTCTGGCCCTGGAGTTTTTTAACAATTCAGTGATTTCCAGTTGCTGGTTTCATACACACAGAGCTTAGAGTTGCCACAGTCTTTTTTTTTTTTTTTTCATATTTGCACCAATTTAGAAATAAGGAAACCAAGGCAGAGAAAGGGTAAGTAACTTGTCCCAGTGTATGCAGCAAGTATAGAGCCAGGATTTCAATTTCTGGTTAGTCTGATTCCAAGGTGCTTTGATATACAACACTATGCTTTTCCCAATAAAACAAATGAGATTAAAAAGCTTTAAAAGATGAAAAGGAAAAAAATATATATAACTAGAAGCCTGAAGAAGGGCACGGGAATGGAGTCAGGGGTATGCAGGGGCAGGTGATATGAAAAGAAGCTGAAGTGGCAGCCTTGCTAGCCTCCAGTTACTTTTACTGTGCCTCTACCTTGTAAAAACAGAGGTTTTCATTACTGTTGGGTAATTGATGGCAGATCATATGGGAATGAACACAAGATAAAATGTACACATAAAAATAAATATGGTAAGAGATTTTTGAAACCTGTCTTGCTTCTTAGCTCAGCATACTTTAGATTTGTCTCTCATTTGGGGCAGACTATCATGTCCTAACACCATTTCTAAAAGTCACCTCTTTGTCCAAGAAGATGTCTTAGTTTTAAATAAAAGACATAAAAGTACTCTCTTCTATGAAATACTCCAGACAAAATTTATAAAATGCAAGCAAGACACAAAATTCCTTTCTTAAGGTAAACCTACAATGGAGATATATAGGATTTATGAACGCTAAAGGGTGCAAATAAAATCTATCTCCCAAATTTGTGGGGTGAAATAATTCTTTGGCTTGTTTTGTTCTTCATAAAAGCCAGAGTTTCAATAGGTTTATTGTAGCACCAGTGCTGAAAAGAGCTGTGAAAGATTGCCAAAAATAGAAATAATCTTTAAATTAAATAAAAAAATAATCACTGGGCAATATTTTTATTTTGAACATCTAAAAGAGAGACAGCAGCATTGATATTTGGCTAGAAAATTACTATAAAAGATGTAAAATCAAAGACAAGTTGACAGGATTGGAAATCCTCCACCACGGTGAGTAAACACAGCAAGGAGAGATATACAGTAGCAAAGGCTTTGTAGCAGGATTT